AGAAACAAAAATAGAGTTGATAATTGGAAACTTTAAATAACATAAAGCGAGTTGATGCAAACTTAAGACAAAAGCAAGTGTGTAAACATATCGATCATTCAATATTTAATACAGACAGTTATATTAATTTTCGTCTTTGTTTTGAGAAGAAATATCCTCATTATTACATATAAGTTTCCGATTTAACATTTAACCTAAATTTTTAAGATTCTATATTCATAAGCTTCGCTGTATTATCTATAGGCCTGAGATAAATTATTAATTGTTTTTATCTTATACTATTTAATTTATTCGTCTGTGTTGTTTTCGCCACAAATTCTGATCGATATACGATCCAGCATTCCTCTATTTCTGAAGTTAAGTTGTACCCTCATTTCATGTGTTTGCCATTTTAAGTACAATGTTCCAGTTAATACGTTCTTCAGCTTTCTTCAGGCAGATTTGCATTCACTAGTATTAACAATCGTTTAATATATATTTTCATTTTAACTTCTTTTTCAACAAGAGAATATTGAAACTATCACGAACAGAAGAACGTTAGGCGAATTTCAAAGGAGTTCAAAAGAAATTAATGTCTTTTTTTCAAGTAAACATGCGTCAAATAAATCTTTACTCTGAACAAATTAAAAATAAATTAAATATATTTGTTCTTGGGTAAATTTACGCTCTTCTAAGTCAAATAATAAAGTCTATAAATAAGCATGAAAGAAATTGATGATAAATAAATGAAAAATAAATGCATTTGTAAACGAAATAGTCACTATGTAGTGGAATGGCTTCTTCTGAAAAAAATTCTTAAAATAAACTATATTGTTCTAAATTGAAATTCGTGAATAAGAAGATATAGTAACAACGATGAGAAGCCTTAACGTGTTCGATCTGATGTGATACTTACATATCGATACAAACAGTTTCAGTTTAATCATGACAATGGCTCTAATATAAGATATAAAACTATTCAAATCAGTACAATATGAAAACGTGATGAGCAGCAAAAATGTGGATATCCAATGTTTCTATGAACACACAGATAGACAGTTAAAATGAACCGTAGTTTCAAGAAATTATAGACAATAAAAGACAATTATTTACATCATCTACATTATTCGACTTGTTATCTTCATTTTCATTGCTATATTCCTACCGTCCTCAAGGACACATAGCCCAGTGAATAAAGACGTTGGTGTTTTGAGTTAGATACCAGACTACTTTATTGGAAAGTTGAATTAAAGGGAAATAACTGAGATATCCGGAAGAAGCATGTCATGTGGAGCTAGAACAATCTACCCCGTTAAACAAAATAAAGGGTTCGGTTCGAAATTCCAATCATCTGAAGAGGGCCGGAACGTACAGCGGCCAAAACGTTGTGAATATGGCAATGAAAAATGAGAATAACAGTCCGAATACTGTAAATAATATAAGTAGTCATAATACCTTTGTGACTACTTACTCAGATATAGACATATATTGAAGATTCTGGATAGTTTTGATTTCTCCAACTTGTAGGAATAGAATCCATTACTGCGCTTAAATTTTTAAAGCAGCGCCCAGCTCATCAGAACAATTGCCATGAAAATATTTATAAGAAAAAGCACAGGTAAGCTAAATTACGGCTGGAAAGTAACAGAAGCCGTAATGCCGGATCAGGACATTGCAGATTCTTCTTTGGATTTTATTAAGAATCTTGAGATATACAGCAGAAACACTAGATTAGATGTAGCAGCAATATTAAATTTATTGACAAATGGTAGACTTATAAAGGTGTAAAATAGATTCTAAAATTGTCTGGCATGACACGGTGAACCAACAAGCATTTGATACAATATAATCATTCCACTTTATGCCAGTGGAAAACTTTGGCGCGAGATGATATAATCAATCATTCTCCTGGAATTTCGCATCAATCCTCCTGATGGAAGGCAAAAATTGTTTCTCTAAAACGATTGAAAAAGTGAAGTTTCGGTATGGAGGCGTTAAATTAACAAGTCATTTCTTGCCCCAGTAAACAACAGTGTGAAGATTATTTTTTTAGATCAGCTGCAAATTTGACATTATCTAACCTATCAGTTTTACCAAGTCTTTCTTTGTCATGTAACCCATACCTGGGGATGAAAAGATATGGAAAAATTGTTTTACCAAGAGAATTTAAGCGAAGGTGAACGTCTAGGACTAGGCAGAATTTTGAACTCGGCTGGTGAGATTGCATTTTCTACTGCGATAACGGATACGCCACCTACACACGTAATTTAACGATTGCATAATTGATACAACGGTTCAAAGATCAAGTGTATATTAAGCATGTTCTCATTACCAATATGTTATAGAACCCTGCTTAATTTTACAGTATTTCCGATAAAATAAATGACAATAAAATATTATTCGCAATAACAAATATGTTTCTAGCGTGAAAGAACTGTTTATGGAGAACCAACACTTCTAGTCATAAATGAAACAACACCAGGCACCGCATTATGGTAAATTCTATGAAAAGTGGAAATGCCTTCCACAGAAGATAAGGAATACCACAAATATGAAATTGCCAAGCTATATATATATATATATATATATATATAAAGAGAGAGAGAGAGAGAGAGAGAGACAGAGAGAGAGACAGAGACAGAGACTAAAATAAGGAGGGGAAAATATTAAATATAATGATATAATATAATTTTTACAGAGAAGAATTAAAATTGTGTTACTTACAATTGGATTTTCAGTGTTTTTTTCTTAGAAAAATAATTTGTTGTATTTTTTAAAACTTTTTTTTTACTTTAACCGGTTTCGCTTAGCGATTCAAAAAGGCTTTAACTGTTTCTATCTCCATGTCTTGTTGCTTATGTTTTGTACTAATGAAAGAAATGAAAATCAAGGGGTCTAACTGACTATATGCGTAGTTTACGGTACAAGGAATTTGGTAGAATCTATTTATGCAATGTATTAAATATGGATTTGAACTTGTGGATGGAAAATGTTAATTTATTAATCCGCCTTTGTTCAGTAGTTCTGTAGGTGGACTGGTAGAAAGACACTAAAATTTGGCAGATTTCGTCCTCCACATTCGTCTATATGATGGTTAAGGGGTATTTTTCCTGTGTGGGGGTGCCCAATTTGCTGGCGATGAACTGTTATCATTTGCCAGAATGACTGGCCAGTTTGGCCAATGTATTGTTCGTAGCAACCTTTGTATATAATTATGTATATTTGATTCTCTGAGTCACACAGGAAATCATGTTTAATTTTGAAATTTGATCGGTCTTTGAACTGTAATTCATGACCCTCTAATAGGTAGGTGCATACCCCACAAAGTGGTCGGTTGATGTTTTCACCTGAGGGTCATTAATTGTGTTCTGCTTTTTTTAGTGATTTACGTCGTCGTTTACTTTTTATGAATGGTTATTTTTGTAATTGGCTTTTCAGTTTTTTGCCCTTTAGTAGGATTGGTAGATTTAGTTCTGTGTAGGTCTAGATTTCTGTGTTCTTTGGGCTGAAAGATGAGATATAAGGGATGACCTTTTTTTCTTTTTTTCTCTCTGTGTGTGGATGTTAATTTGTTTTGCTTTTTCAATAGTATTGTCGACCAAAGTTCGTGGGTATTTTCTATTGATGAGTATCTTCCATCCTTTCTCGTCTGTGGTCTTTTGTGGTTGTGTCTGAGACTATTGTACATATCCGCTTGGCTAAGTTGAGTGGGATGAATATTATCGAGAGTTAGTCAGTTTAAAGTATATGTCGATTTCTAATTCAGTGTTTGTATTTGTTATTAATATGTCAAAAAAGGGAAGGTTTTTGTTGCTGTAGTCCACAGAGAATTGGATGCTAGCATTTATATTATTAATGGATGTTTGGAATGTCTTCAGTGTATCCAGACTTTCATTTCACAGAATGAAACGCTCATCTAGATATCTTTTCCAGTTTTCTTTTATGTTGCAACTGAAGTCGTTCCTATATATTTACGAAGTTCTGTCATAGATTTTTAGTTCATAGTATCCCATGACTAGTTTGGCACATGTTGGTGCAAGCTTTGTCCCCATGGCTGTTCCTGATTTTTTTCGGTAGGATCTTTCATTGAACATGAAATAATTGTTCTTTAAGATGAATTCTCACCTTTATGATGGAATTTCATTTGATACGATTTGATGCATCATAGGGAAACATTTCTACCCAGTATATTGTAGCCTCTATTCCGTAGTCATGTGGGATGTTGCTATATAAGTTCACAACATCCACTGAGACTACATGAGTATTATGGCTTATGTAGTTGGGAAGAAGACTGAGAAAATCTAGATCATCTCGAATGAAGCTCCGAACATGTTTGATAAGAGGTTTCAACAGGATGTCTAAAAAATTACTTAAGTCGTATGACTCGAAAATTGATAGAAACCGTTAATAAAAATTTAAAAACCGATTAAAGTAAAAAGGTTTTAAAAAGCGATAACTACAAATTATATTTCTAAGAAAAAACACTGATAATCCAATTTTGATTGACAAAGTTTTAATTCTTCTCTGTAAAAACTCATATATTATAAATAAATATCAATATATTAAATATTAGATGACTTTTTTTCAATTCTCATTTTAGTCTATAAAATAAGTTTTGTAGAGAATCTTTCTAAGAAATTTTAACTATGTGTGTGTGTAATTTTAAGGTATGCTATATTTATGGCGTAAAGTGGTCAGTGTCAAGGATAGAGAGTGTATAAATATAATAAGCATAATAATAACAATCAACAATAAAATAATCTATAATAGATAGAAAAGTTAACAGACAAGAATATAAGTGGACAAAATATTGCATCCAGTTTCACAGTTATTTCCATGCAATACACATGAGAATAATTCTAAAAATTACCATTACCGCCCAACAAAATACCATTTCGAATGATACAAAAGACTTACTTCGAAGATTCTTGGACTGTATTTATAATATATAATGATAGAGTCTTCTGTATCTTCTTAGCATTACTTGAAACGGCAAAATTGGAGTTAAATATTTCTGATACAATCATATGACCAAAATATAGATAGATAGATAGATAGATAGATAGATAGATAGATCAAGGCTACAGTAATGTAGGACGCACATGGATTAGATACAAAGACAAGCTGAAGAGCAACTTGTCAGCTGTCAATATACCACATAACACTCTCGAGCGCTTAGCCTTGGAGCGGGTAGAGTGGAGATCAACGTGTTTTAGTGGACTCAGCAGTTTTAAATCTGCTATTCTGAATCGTATTC